CATTGGTCAGTTAACTACTAGATAAAAAAGAATAACGTATAACCTTTGAAGTGAAGTGCTTCAAAACAAGTCTGCTATAGTCCTATGCTTCAGCGCCAAAACACTAGTTGCCGTAAGATTATGTTGGTTTGGTAAATTAAATAATAATCTAGCCTAAATTAAAGTTACATATTTACAGTTTCAGAGAAGCCATATTAAACTGTTACTATTAATGACACATTTAAATAAGCAGAACAGGCTTTTATTAGAACAAACTCTGTTGGAAAGATGAGAGCAGTGTCGCCTGCAGCCTTACGACTGTACATTGCACATGTGCATACCAACCATGACAGGGCGCAAATTAACACCGCTTATTTATTTATTTATTTATTTATTTATTTATTTATTTATTTATTTATTTATAAATAATGTAAATTGATTATTAAACGGTATACACTACGATATATTAATAAAGCAAGAAAGAATGAGAATAAATAGTGTGTGTTTGTGTGTTTTAAAGTGTGTATGTACTTGCATGGTGGGAGATGTAAAAAACATACTTGATTAAACGAATTAAATTGTAATTGACATGTGCAACGGATGGTTTTGTCACAAACAGTAACAAACAGTTGAATATAGGCTTCTTTGAAACTAAATATTTCACTTAATTTTATTTAGGCTAGATTATATTTTATTGAACAAACCTGGGGTGCGTTTCCCAAAACCATCGTAAGCCAACTAGACTCAAGTTCCGTCGTTACAACCATAGTTTGTTTATTAGCCGTTTCCCAAATCCGCCGCTCCAACGAACACTCGCAAACAGCGTCGCAAACTTGAGGACACGCAACTACAGCTCTGGAGCTAGTTCGCGACACAGTTACTGGCTGTGTTCTATTGCCACTTTTCCGCCATATGTCCTATTTATTTAGAACACTCTAACATTCAAAGTTGCCATTATGAAAAGTAAAAAAGCATTAAGGGCATCTCTCTAAGGTGTAATTTGCTTTCAACCTATTCTTACAGTTCAGTTTTAGCGATCTTCATGTTTACATTTGTGCTGTCTTCGCTGTGCACTTTGAAAACATTGATGTCATTTTGAACACAGCCTCATGGCGAAAGCTAAAGGTGACCTATTTAAAAGCGGAATTTATGTTACGTTTTCAAAGCTTGTGAAAACAAAAAGCATAAGTTAATTATTTTCATTTATAGTAGGTTGTTTATTGAGTTTCTAGATGACATGAGCCTGCTGGTTAGAAATTTCTGCAGTGGTTAACGTGTTAAATTGTAAAAGTAGACTTTTCAAAAAAATAAATAAACAAAATCCTACTTATTAATATTAATAAGAATTATCATCATAATCATAATCATCATCGTCATCATCATCAATAAAATTATTAAAGTCTGATTTTTGTCATTTCTAATAAATAATAAATATTACATTTCATTTCATAATAAATAGACTCATTATTTGTTTTTATGATTTATATGATATTAGAAAACGTGTTAGCTTTTGTGCGTGATATGTTTTGGAATAGAATATAACTAATGTTCAACTTCTCAATAATATTAGTAAAGCAAACCCTATATGTGTATGTGCCATTTACATATATTTCAGTTAATATGGAAAGCTAGTGCATGTTTTTACCAAATCTAATATTAGATTGTATTTTAAATGTGTGTGCGTGTAAAACAATAATTTTCACAAAGAAGTTATGGGTTCTTCTCTAAAGAAGCAGTTACTTCACCCAGTTTAGAGCATCATTATGGGGGTTTTACGTTATAACTAACATGGTTCAAGCCATGGATCTGCAACAGAGAAACTATGCGTTTTGGGAAACACTCGTTGTTACATTATTCTTTTTCTAAACTATGCATACTATGATAGTTCAGCCGCGAGTTATGATGTTATTTGGGAAATGCACCCAAGCTCAACAGTAATTTTCAAGATTTGTGCCATGTTGTTTAAATAGCAAATCCATTTACACTGCTTTGTGGACTCATAGGTGTGCCATTCTAAAAAGGTAGCGTGTTAAGGTGTTGTTAACGCCCTGCTATTTTGAGGAACTAAAAAAAGACTTTTCAATAGACCAGCTGAGAGCAGATCTAAAGTCCAGCAAAGTCTGTTTGTTGTGCGCCTTAATTGCATACACATTGTTTTATAGGATTTAGAGCACTATGCAAATATCTTTATATGAAAACAATTAAAGGAATAAAATATTACAACTATTACATAAAAAACACTGTCACCATGCTTTCATTTCTGGGTCTTTTTTCAGTTTATTTACTTGCTTTTGTATAATGTTATTATTAGTAGTAGTAGTATTATTTATATGCATATTCATATACGTTTTATTAAAACAAAGCTTAGATTTGTCCACCTGTCGGGTTTTGGACCATAGGACGTGTGTTTGGATAAAACTCATTTTTTGAGCACACTTCCTTATAATTGTTCACTTGTTCGTTTGCTGGAAATTAGAATTGAATTTAGAAATAGTTTTGAAACAAATATTAGAGCTTAACAAACAAAACGAATTATGTAAGCTATAATGGATGTCTTCAATGGAGTGCGTACAACACCGCTCCTTATCCACGAAAAAAAGGAGTAAAGGAAAGAGTTAAAGTAAAGTAAAAAGCCTAAATGGAGGAAGCTTGTTCTTTATCAGATGGTTCAGATGGTTTATTTAACTGTTAATATGACAACATGTGGAAAGGTTCAAGGGGTATGAATATATTTAGGGCACTGTAGCCCAGGCTGACTGCAAAGCAATTTTTTAGACACTTTGAATAAGTAAACTAATATTCTTTTTTTTCTGCAGCCAGTATAGAAAATTTAACAAATCCACTACCATAGCTACACGAAAGTAAATATATTATTGTGCATTTAATTATCTACAGTTTTACAATAAGGCACGTTCAGTGCTGGCACGTCCATAGAGGTGACCTTGGCAGAATAGGCAAAATAGTGAGGGCGGCGTCCGCAACAAGTCGTTTGCCTGGAGCGCCAATGCAGCTTGCTCCGGCCGTGGCTACGTTTCAAAGAGGTATATGATCCCTGTTAAACCACACAGGACAGACAAGTAGCCTACTGTATGTGGAAGGCTTAAAATGTGAAGTATTAACAAAAACAAAAATAAATAAAAAACGGTTTCTTATTTGAAGTTTTTTATTTGTTTATTCTTAAATTTCAGTTTATTCTTCTTTAATGTATTATTATAATAAGATTTAACTAGTTTTGGTTTTGATATGGTTTTATTTTTTATTATAGGTTAATCCTATTCATCAATTGAAGAAATATAAAGTCTTTTTTTTTGTCTGCATAAGGTAAAGTAAAAGACGTTTTGAATGGAAAAGTCCACAAAAGAAAAGAAAAAAAAAAAAAAACATGCAGACCATAAATATTGAAAAAGTAGTAAGAACAAATATGAAAGTTTTATAATTAGAAGGTTATGTGTTTAGCATAAAATACCTATATTCATATTTTTTTAAATATATGCATAATGCATTACAAATATAGATTTTCATGGAAAGTGTTACTGACTATTTGTTGCTACTACATATTCCACTATTATGGGTGCTCGTTTTTGCCATATTAATACCTTCATAGGACATGAAAAAGCATAGTTCAGTTTGGTGTTGGTACATCTGTCCAGTCAAAAATCTGATGTCTTCAACTGGAGATCACAGAAATCCTGCATTAAACACAGTTAAAATGCAATAATTACATGCTCGTTACATCTAGTGCATTGTTTTATAAAGTATCATTCCATATTTACTGAAGGTTAACAAGTTTAAACAATATATATATATAAACCATATATATATATATATATATATGTAATTTTCCAAAAAGATTAATGGTACAAATGATCAAAACATACATGCATAGGAAAATTTCACTCAATAGTGATAATATTAAAAATAAAATGTTCTCTGCAATTTGTTATTTCTAGTCATTTCTGAATGAACTAACTGAATCGGAAGTTCTAAAACAATCACAAAAACGAGCACAGAGTATAAGGACAATATTACAAAAAATGTTGTAAAAGTTTATTTAAAAAAAAAATTACTTTGTTCACAATTTTACTGCTTGCCATGATTTTACTAAACTTATTGTAAAATAACAGATCCTTAGCTGGCATGTAAATTAACTTTGAGAATAGAAAACAAGAAAATGTAGGCTAACTAAACCCTAATATGATTTTTTTTAACTAAGACAGAGGATCTTGGTCTCTGGATTTGTGACTGGCAGAAGTTGTGAAACTCACATTCTCATCGTACAAGTGTGGATAGCGTTAAGATCTTCTCCTGTTGGTTGAATCGCATGCAGCAACAAACACAATGCTTCTGTGAAAAGGAGCATGTAAAAACACCAATGATAAATGTAAAAACATTAAAGATACTTTTACAATATCTATTAGATATTGTTCTGGGGATATACATTTAAACATTGTAGAAGCTAAGAGTCTGTAAAAAATAATAGCACACACAAACTCCCATGTTCAGTGTTTATAATAAACATATGTAGCGGTAAAAATGCACAAACTTACATTTCAGTGGAATGCACGTACTGTATGGTCTTGACGGCAAACACGCCACATACTGACCTACATATAAAATAAAATATATATATTAATTACTACACTATTACTACTCAATTAATCATTCTAATTACAAGCATTAAAACAATATAATTGTAGCCTACCTCATATAGCTGAATGTTACAGGCCTACAGGCATTTTAATGGAAATCTCACCAAAACAATCTAATATTATTAATTTTATTATGTTTAAAACTGAACACCTAAAAGACTTACACCTTTATCGACAATAAGATGCTAATACACTTTTTTATTTAAAAATTTTCTTAAATTTAATGTCATTTAAAAATTTTGAAAATTAGATGAAACTGTCAACAGTCAACACAACAAAACAAAACAAACTGATTAGCAAGATCTCATTTTGGAACTTATTGTCGTCCACTGCCACCATCTCTGTCTGGAGCGTAACGTAACCATTTTTTTACTACTTCGCTAAAGTCTGTTTTTGATGCTTCTTTCCCCTGGGAAGTATTTCTTAATGCACCTGAAAGTAAAAAAAGAACAAAAACTAACATTGTGTTATTTTTTTCACATTTATCTAATATATTTAATCATGTCTACATTTTTTAGAGATTGTTTGTACAGAAAACCAACTATTACTTACGGAACATTGTCTTTTGCAAATTTGAGGCTTCAAAGCTCCTTTTCTTTCCACGTCCAGCCCAATTAAAATGGGATGCCAACCTGTTTGTTAAAACATGGCTTAACATGCGTCTCACAGTGTCCTGCAAGTTGAGTCCACCAAGTAGTGACAGCTGGCAAATCTAATGAGAATCAACATCAGCATTAACATAAATGTTCATCTAAATCCACACAAAACCAGACAAAACATTCAGTTAAGTTATCTAGATGGAATATTGCAAATTTTGATTGATATCTGAGAGGTTGCTTGACATTTTTATTTTTTATTTTTGGCATTATCTGTTGACTTCAATCATCAATAACTTTTGTTCACAAATTTACCAAAAGAATCTAGATAAACAAACCATAATTTTAATGCAAATATATCAAAACAGGTTTCTTAGATGCTTTATGGTGTAGTAGTGTAGATTATGATGAAGATAAAACTTAGCATTTGATTAAGGATCAAATGGCTATTAAATATAAAATGTTTACTAATCCCATGAGCCTATTAGTTCCTCTGTCCCATGCCACCACATTAACAAAATCCTAAGAGCACTCTTGCTGTAGTGATGAGGAACTAATAGGCTAATGGGATTAGTAAACTTTTGTTTTTACTAATGTAACATTTACTAATGTTATTATATGTTCAAATCTTAAACTATTATTTAAAAATGTATTAACATTTTCAAATAATATTTAAAGATATGAACATCATGTGCAAGGATTACCAATCTCGTTACTGAAGATCCGGTGCCCTGCAGGGTGAGAGGGGTCTGAATGCAGAACTGGTGCAGTGCAATCTGAGCTGCATCAATGCTTTTTAATGTGCTCACCTAACCCCACTCTTAACCCTACCTGTCACAGTGACGTCACTCACTCCATTGAGTGCATTGTGTCTGACATTGCATCGCTAAGTGATGCAATCTCAACTTGCATCATAAAAAGCTGCATCCAGATACTATTGTGCAAGGTTTAGCTCCAACTTGCCTCAACACACCTGCCTGGATGTTTCAAGTATACCTAGTAAGACCTTGATTTGCTTGTTCAGGTGTGTTTAATTATAGGGTTGGAGTTCAAATCTGCTGGACACCGGACCTCCAGGAACAAGTTTGGTTATCCCTGATCTAGTGTGTCCTAGACCTAAAAAAAGTGAAACATAATTGTAACTACATTACTAGACATACCAATCTGTTTGTCTCAGCATCATTTTGCAGCATCTTCTCAAGGGCATCAAAGTCATCCAGTGACTGTGCTGGGAAAGCAAAGCTGCTTTCGGCTTGAAGTGGAATGGGTATTGGCGCTCCCTGTAATTGCTGTATCATTGCCCTCTGTTCTCGTTGCTCATTTTTTATTTCCAATAAAATTTTCAAAACGTTCCTTTTAAAAGGAGACAACTCTGCAAAGAAAACAATTAATCAATTAGTTAATAAATATTGTAGAGGGAGAAACTCAAGCTAATTTCTGTCATTAGTAATTGAAAGACTAAGATTAAACAAACAAACCAAAACACTACATACATACACACATATACACACACATATATATATATATATACATACAGTTAAAGACAGAATTTTTAGGCCCTTTGATTTTTTTTTCTTTTTTTAAATATTTCCCAAATTATGTTTTACAGATTCAGGATATTTTCACAGTATAATATATAAACAGTATAAAATAATATTTTTTTTATTCTGGAAAAAGTCTTATTTGTTTTATTTGGCTAGAATAAAAGCAGTTTAAAAAAAAACATTTTAAGGTCAATATTATTAGCCCCTTTAAGCTAATTTTTGATAGTCTACTGAACAAACCATCACACATTAACTTGCCTAATTACCCTAACCTGCCTAGTTAACCTAATTAACCTAGTTAAGCTAGTAAATGTCACTTTAAGCTGTATAGAAGTGTCTTGAAAAATATCTAATGAAAAATGATGAACTGTCATCATGATAAAGATAAAATAAATCAGTTATTAGAAATGAGTTATTAAAACTATTATGATTAGAAATGTGGTGAAACAATCTCTAATAAACTTTGAGGGGTTACACTTAGAAAAACATACCACTGGGAACAAGGGCGGAGGCAGTCTGACTTGAGGTTTGGTCCATGTATCGCTCTTTAAAAATGCAAGGAACATGGATGTCAAGATGTATTAGTGGATACAGTTTAGCCTGTTTAAGTCCAAACTAAATAAAATGCATTACAAAGTGAGGAATGAGCATGAAATTAACATAAAGGTGTAGTGTAGATGTATTTGCTTAAATCATTACCATTAACCAGTTCACTCAGTGTTCCCTGGTGATCTCTGTAGTATGTACTTTGGTGAGCTCTGTACTGTGGGTCCAAGTGAGGACTATATCTTGTGTCCAGCTGAGCTCTATATGTGTCCTGGTGGGATTGGTGGTGTCTGTCCTGGTGTGCTTGATGGTGTCTGTCCTGGTGTCCTTCGTGAGTGTCTTCATGTGCTCGGTAGGCTGTGACCTGGTGTGTTTCATTATATTGTGTGTTCTGGTGTGCAAGGTAGGCTGGGTCCTGGTGAGTTTGGTGCAATTGCAAAGTAATTAGTGACTATAATTATTTCATTTAAAGGCTGAGAAAATGAAGATTACTATTAATTTTGTAGAAATTTTATTGCAGTTACTTATAATATACCTGCCTAAAATATTGCAAATAAATTTGACAGTAGTTTTTTATATAAGTATGCTTCACAGAATTATCTTATTTTCATATGAAAAAACATTTTTATATGAAAAACATAAAAAGTTACAAATTTGATATTGGAAATATAGCAGAGTAAAAACTAAATAATTTTCTTTTTTATTATTTTAAATAAATTAATTTGATTTAGAAATTTAAGAATGAACACACATTTTAAGTATGGAATATGAAGTCATTGTTTCGAAAAAATTTGTTGTTTTGATATATTTATATATAAAAAAATATATATATATATATACCCTATGTATGTATATATATATATATATACACATACATTACTTTTTTGCATAGTAATTCTGTTTGCTAGCTAAATATTGTTATGTGTGCTATTAAAAAAACTTAATTTTTAAAGATATAAGACTATGTTTGACTGAATAATACAATTAATTTCTAATTAATTCATAGAAAATTAATCAAAATAACAACGAAAATAATGTGAAACCAATTTTAATAATGCAATTAGTAATAAAAAATATATACATTTTAAGTAACTTACTTACCCAACACTCTTGGTGTTGTACATGGCTTGTCCCATGGTGCTCAATATGTCCTCTTTTTGGATTGACTAAAAACAAATGAAAGTTTTTTTAGTTCTAAAAAATAAAAATGCATGTTTTTTTCTGGACAAGATCCCACAAATATTAACCAATCATTGATATGTTCCACCCAATAATTTAATCGCATTCAAAATAAAATAATACTCTGTTAACAATTAAGATAAAAAGGTTCCAAAAGGGTTAACCGACGGGAGTACTCCCCTTCCCAAACACTGAGACAATGCGATTGGTTGCTTTTACCTGCCTCAAGTGACTGACGCCAAAACTTCCAGGACATTCATTAGAGCTACTTGTGCAAGACTTGGATGTAGGGAGAAACGTTTCAAAGTGTAAGTCATTTAAAGTTAAGTTAGTTACGACTTCGCCATAATAGCTAATATTACAGGACTGTGCAATTAATCAAAAGTAATTTTCAATTTCGGCCTCCAATGATTATGAAAAATCAATAGGCTAATAGAGAAAATAGGTTAAAAGGTAAAAAAAAAGAGTGTTTAAGGTTTATTGATGGTTTTAAATATCACGAAAGAGAACTTGTGGTGTTCAATGCATGCGCTCATGTTTTAACTTATGGTAGGGGTGCCCAAACCCCTAAAGGGCCGGTGTTCTGCAGATTGTAGCTCCAACTTGCCTCAACACACCTGCACTGATATTTTTAGAAAGCCTTGCTGTGGTCACACTAGAGTTTGAGCATGCAAAATGTTGTCGTACGGCGCTGTGAAAAGGGGCAGTAGCTATTAAACTAGATGATTAGACATTTAAAAAAGCAAGCCATTGGTCAATGTTTAAAATTTATGTTTAGAGAAAAACAATCAAAAGATCAAAGCATGACATCCCTGGACAGAATTTTAAAACATGAAGCAATCGCTCGCTTTTTTTTAAAATGTCTAATAAACTTGTTTAATCCCGTCCCTTTTCGCAGTGCCGCACGACAGAATTTGGCATGCTCAATCTCTAATGTGACCGTAGCTTTAATCCTCGATTGGTCTCACGCAGTCAAGTGATGCGATTTCGCAGGTCAGAGTTCACCAAGCTTGAACTTTGCACCGCAGCAACCTGCGAAACTTAACGCATGACCCTGCGTTTCCGGTCTGACGCATTCGCGTGCGTATGAATGGGAGTCTATGCGAGGAAAAGCCCAATGTGACTGCAGCTTAAAGAGGAAAAGATGCCTAAACTGGGGAATAACTTGTGGAGTATTCAGAAAATTAGTGAATTTACTGGGGGGAATGTGCATTTTTACCATGGCAGCCTGAATCAGTCTGTCCTGAAGCCAGATTTGCTGAAGCATTCATAGCTACAAAAATGTCAGAATGAGCAGGATGTTAAAAAGACTAAAACAGAAATGCTACTATATTATTACTAGCAATGTAACTTTAATGTAACTTTTTCTATTATAATTACTTTATCACCCTTAACAAGATATTGTTACTTCTGAAAAAAGTAACAATTAATAGTTACAATAAAAAAGTTCATTACCTGTAAAATCTATTGGGGGTGCTGCAGCAAGCCTCAATTTATGTGATGTTATGTCCTGATCAGAATCGTTTTCTGAGAAGTCAATAAATCGTGGATTAGGCCTGTGAAGTGAAACACTCAAATTAGTTATCAATAAGACATCACTTTAATAGTTTTTTTAGTATATAAAGTTAACCTTTTCTTTCTTTTTATTTTGTTTCCACTTCCCTCTTCATCAGAAGTTAATTCAGATGTAGGGAGATTGGACTCCACATACATTTTTAGCATCTTCTGTGCTTTCTCTAAGGTATCTAATAATATATAGACAATAAATAATATTTATTTAAAATAAATAAAAATCTTCAGTGAATCTTGAATAGTAACAAGTTCATGGAGATAATAAATAATTTAATATTTGCATACAACTCTTACCACACTTTTTAAGTAGACGAACAGGCTCAAATAGTTTCCATCCGTCTTTGACAGCTTCTTTTTTCTTCACAGCTGTCTTTATTTTTGTAGGATTGTAATTTGGCCAATAACATTTTTGACCCAAAAGCCAATTTTCAGGGACAACATCTGTTCCCTTGTCAGGGAATTCTACCAGTGCATAACACTGGTTATCCATCACTGTTTAGGACAGGAAAAAAAGTAACTAAAAGATCTCTTATCTCTAGATCTCAGTGTGAATCAATATGTGTGGTTTGTTATGGGTTGCTGCGTGTTCAGCTCCCATACCCATTACAAACCTGTGATGTGTGATATGTAAAAGGGATGTGTAAATGCATTTATCTTTATGTAATGTCAGTATGGGAAAATAACAGGAATAGAAAAAAAACTGTTTACATACATACACTTTTAGAAATAAAGGTATGAAAGCTGTCACTGGGGCAGTACCTTTTAAGGTCTGAGGGTATAAATATTATATAAGATCTGTGTATGTGTATATATTTAGTATAATAAACATAACTATTTATATATAAAATATGTATTGTATGTTTAGTATTGTAATAAATTCAATTGATAAAAAATATTGTAATAGTGCAAAATATACATACAGACATACATACAGGTGTGTGTATATATATATATATATATATATAGGCACATGTATGATATGTGTATTATAATGTGCACACACATAAATTACGCAATACAGACTGTTACTTTTGATGCAATTAGTCTGTGGTTAGCATTATTAAAAAAATCCCAAAAGAAGCTGACACTACATGTAAGTATTTACTGTGTTTTCTATGCTTAGGGAACTTTATCTACAATGGATGAGGGGTAGCGCAAAAAAACTGTTTTCATTTTCTGGAAGAAGGACATATTTTTGTTTTACACTAGACAAAGGTACCAAATCAGTCTTTTCTTGCAAGACAGAGACTCTGTGACAGCCATTTGCAGAGGAGTCGCACGGGTAAGTGTAAAAAGATTCCATTTTCTTGAACGTCTGACACACTAAATGGACAGTTTCACCCTGTTTCATTATGTTCTTAATTACAGCAATGCCTGTGTCAATTTGAATGCAGTTGTCTCCTTGGTTTGGTGATAAAACACAATCAGAGAAATGCACCAGCTTTGGGTCTTTTGTACTTGAAGAGAGATGTGATTCTTGATTTGATTTGTGAGATTGTTTTGTGGGCATTTCTGATAGTCTTCTGACAACCTGCTGCAAAGGTTGATCTGGTTTTCTAACCAACCGTTTCAGTGTTCCTAAGTAGTTCTCATATGGAAATGCAGATATGTTGTCAAGAGGGCCAAATGCTTTATACTCTTCTGCAAGATGAATCACTTGGTGAACATTGTAAACAACTTCATCTGTGCCGTAAAGCTGGCTGTAATGTTTTACAAATGATGACAGAATCTTGTTGGCAATTTCTATCATTGAACCAGGAAGGCCAGGGCTGAGGAGCAGAAACATGCCAGCAGAAAAGAGCATAAAATTGTCGTAAATTTCATTTTCGACAAATCCTTTTAAAACAATCGGCCCAGTATAGATCATAAATTGACGGAACTCTGTGGCCTTCCATCTATCCACATCTCTCAACGAACGAGGCTTTCTGGCAAATTCTTTAGGCATAAAAGGACGGAGAGCAACAAGCCTGTCTGAGATCTTTTGAATTTGCTGTGAAGACAACCTTGTTCTGAGCTGTTTGCCTTTCATCCACATTTGAATCAGTCTTCTTGTCACTCCGAGACAGCAGGTGTGCATGTAATCAATTGGAAACTGGGTTATCATTTTTACTACTCCAGTCAAGGGGCCTAAACTGTTACCCAAATGGTGTTCTTCATTTTTCATTTTTTCAAAGTCATCGTCCGTACGTAAAGGTGCGTCAGTTTCAGGATACGTCATTTTATTGGACCAAACTCCAGTCTGGGAACACTTGTCACAGCCATAGTAGCCATTGTGAGACTTGACATGTTTGACAAATGCCCTTGCAGGGGCATCACATATGAAGGAGGAGACTACAACCTTAAACCGAGTTCCATTCCTCACAATACCTTCACGCAGAACTATCCTCAGTTCTGCAATGAAGTCTCTCAAGTATTCCCAGACTGAGCTTGGTTTGCTATTGCCACAAAATAAACCAATTATAAATGGCGATCGTGTTTTGTCACAGTCAATCGTTCCGAGAATTGGCCAAAATTGAGTTTTGGAGCTTTTGAAAAGGGGAATTCCATCAATGTTAAATTGCAAAGCAAGAGTTGTTATTTTTGGCAAACTGGCAATATGGTCCAATGTCTTCAGTAGACAACTGACCAGGCCAAAATGGTAATATTCCCCATTACATATCTTAGTTACAGGTACCTTTGTCTGTGTGCCAAGAAGAGTCCTTGCATCCTTGGGCAAATCAGGAAATTCGGACCTCAAGATTGCCAGTAGTGCTGTTAGAGCTATGAGAGGTATGCAAAAAGATGCTGCCCATGTTTGCAGTTTTTTTTGCAACTGATTAACTGAATCGTTGCTACTGCTGTCAGATTCTGCATTTGGTTGGTCTGTATCAGAGATACTACCACTGTCAGAAAGAGATTCAGAATCAGAATCAAGCCAACATGGGTTATCGTGGTCGGTCGCAAGAGAGGAAACTATATTGCAAGAAGGCAATTCATCTCTATTTTCAAAGTTTTGAGATGCGTTAACTTGTGCAGTAGATTCGGGATTGTTTTCTGTTTGTATTTTGTATTCATTCAAAATCTCCTGTTCTATCTCTTGCACAGTGGCCAAAGTCTTTCTTCTTTTTGTCCAGTAGGACATTGTGATGTGTGTAAATGTGTGCTATTGTCAATATTTTGTACATGTACTGCACATGTATTAAGCTATATTTGTATTTCTATACGAGCTAGGTCTATACATGTTTAGGTTCTAATGTATTGTGTATGTATTATTACTTGGATCTTGTGATGTTGTTGCTTTGGAAATTCTCCTGAAAGACAAAAAAATGTATGAATAAAAGAAGAATTAAAACCACATAGAAAATATATGTAATTGCCTTTAATCTATTATCTCCCTGAATAATTAGTTTACTAATCGCATGCAACCTTTTTTACTTTATTTCAGAATTCAACAACAACAAAAACCTCTTCATTTACACACCCTAAAGGGGTTCCACACCCCTTTGTATTTTTTTTTCACAAATGAAAATATTTTTAAAAAATTTAAACCAGTAGCCATTGATATCCAGTTGAAACTTAAAGTCCTATAGAAGTCAATGGCTTCTGGATTTTCAAATTTTCAAAATATCTTCTTTTGTGTTTAGCAAAAGAAACAAATTTTTGGGGACAATCTCCTAAAATTATCTTATTTTATGTTCAATAGGACAACCACATACATACATACTAAAACACACACACACACACACACACACACACACACACACACACACACACACACACACACACACACACACACACACACACACAGTGTAACCCCCAGTTTATTTTTCCCCCCAATTTCTGTTTAACAGAGAGAAGAATTTTCTAACACATTTCTAATCATAATAGTGTTAATAACTCATTTCTAATAACTGATTTATTTTATCTTTGCTATGATGACAGTAAATAATATTAGACTAGATATATTTTAAGACACTTCTATACAGCTTAAAGTGACATTTACAGGATTAACTAGGTTAATTAGGTTAACTATATGCAGGTTAGGGTAATTAGACAAGTCATTGTATAATGATGGCTAATAATTTTATTTAAAAATATATAGTAGATGTCAGAATTATTTTTATTATTTTTTAAATATTTACCAGCGTTGTTTAACAAAGCAAGGGAATTTTTACTGTATGTCTGATAATGTTTTCTTTTTCTTCTGGAGAAAGTCTTATTTGTTTTATTTTGGCTAGAATAAAAGACATTTCTATTAAAAAAAACATTTTAAGGACAAAATTATTAGCTTCTTTAAGCTATATATATATCTTTTTTTTTTCGATATTCTACAGTTCGTCGTTATACATCATTATAATCATCGTTATACAATAGCTTGCCTAATTACCCTAACCTGTTAACGTAATTACCTAGTTAAGCCTTTATATGTAACTTTAAGCTGTATAGAAGTGTCTTGAAGAATATCTAGTCTAATATTTTTTACTCTCATCATGACAAAGATAAAATAAATCAGTTAAATGAGGTATTAAAACTATTATGATAACAAATGTGCTGAAAAAATATTTTCTCCGTTAACCAGAAATTGGGGAAGAAATGAACAGGCGGCAAATAATTTAGGGGGGCTAATAATTCTGACTTCAACTGTGTGTGTGTGTGTGTGTGTGTGTGTGTGTGTGTGTGTGTGTGTGTGTGTGTGTGTGTGTGTGTATAAGAACATTTTCAACACATTTCTAAACATAATAGTTGTAATATCTATTTTCTAATAACTGATTTATTTTATAACTGATTTATTTTGTCATGATGACAGCACATAATATTCTAATAGATATTTTTCAAGACATAACTCTTTTTTAATAACTGATTTATTTTATCTTTGCCGTGATGACAGTTAATAATATTTATTAACTAATATATGGCTAACACATGGCTAATATATTAAAAAGCAAACTCATGTGCATGTGCATGTGTATGCATTATGACATTGATACTGATAAAGGCATGTTTTGCCAAAGCTTATAGGTGCACATGAGTATTTTCCTGAAGGTACAAAAGTTATATTTAATTTAGCTAGAGTGATATTTTGATTATATCTGTGTTTCCTAAAGTGTACTCTATCCAACACTACTTTTATGTCATCTAAGAATTTTTACATTTTATGTTCAACATAAAGTGATAGAAGACTTGATGCAAACATCTTTCAATCAGTTTAACTTTTAAGCTTTTATCATTGCCTTTATGTACCATGTATTTAAAACTGTGTGACGTGTTTAACTACCAAAAGTTATATATATATATATATATATATATATATATATATATATATATATATATATATATATATATATATATATATAAGACCATCATGGACCAGCCAGGCATTTGTTAAATGCGTTGTTAAAGTCAGAACATGAGACTGGGATGATGGTTGCCGGTTTTTTGTACATACAACATTATGTAGCTTTAATTAATCTAACAGTATTATACAGTTAAAACATACTTACAAAGCTCAGATGTTCTGTGTTCTGCTGAAAAAAAGAAAAACATCACTGAATGCACTAGATATTACATGTCTGCAAATTAAAAATATATTTATTTAATTTTAATATAATTAATATTTATGACAAGTCAGAGATGCAGGATGACTGCGAAAATAGGCATTTAACAATTAAACACAGTTCTTAAACAAATCTTTTGTGTTATATGTTAATATGTAAAATAACATCTGAAATTGCATAAAGATATTTGCAAAGAATGTGAAACACAATGCCAGTGATAAGACCTTCCAATCCAGTAACAAACAAGAAGCCATGAGTAGACTTTACATTTTTATTCTTAAAGATGTTTAATTTCACCTATGACTTTTTTCTTGTATGCTGATTTTTAGCGGGCCAACAGCATCATCGACATTTGCAGTGCCCTCCATAATTATTAACAATCCTGGTTAAGATGTGAAAACTAATATTTGCACCTTTTGTGAAGTTGTTTTGGAGTAATTATGAAAAGTGCTATACAAATAAAATTTTATTGGATTATCATTATTAGGAAGTGTTTATTTAGTTATTTCCTAGGGACACTTTTGGTCTTGGAGTAAATTACCATTTTTCCGTTAGGCGGCGGTATAAACTAGCAGTGTGTCGTTCGCCAAAAACGTGCTAAAGAAAAAATTCCCGCCGAGATTCTCGCATGCTTCGGGGATTCGCAGTATCGTAGTTGCATTTGTTGTGGGCATTGTTAATGTTTTCAAACACCTAAAGGCTGACTAGGTAAGTATTTTATTGTCATTACTATATTCTAATGTGTTACAAATCAAGAAAATATGGACATCATATGAAGTCTGTGTAGGCTAACGTTGGCGAAAATATTTTACTTCATTCTTGCATAGGAATTAGCAATGTCAGTTTCTACATGTCCATGCGCTGGGTATTAGGGTTAAAAGCGAGTGATAAAACGTAAGGAAACGTTAACGTTAGTAAATAAATTTAGCGTTGCGTTGTAGTTTGTCAGATGATGAAGTAACGTTAGGTGGGACACTGAACTGTGGCTTCCGTGAGGCGTCGGTCATGCGCTTGCCATTATAGATTAAAAGAGAAATAAATCATAAGGTGATAAATAAATATTGCATTGTTTGGTGTGTAAATGGTGACAAATAATCAGCCTGACGCAAATTGCGCTCGCATTAGCGGACAGGTGAAAGTTTTATTTAGGGACATTCTATAAAAGTGGGAAAAAATGCTTTACATGGCTTCATGTAACGTTAACTATACATAAACTTAGAAAACCCACATTTGTCAAACTTTCTGCGTTTTCTCTCATCAAATAGTTCTCTGATTTGTGAAAACCTTCTTTTTACACGTGATCACATAATTCATTTCCGCTAAACGGTTTTCAACTTAAAATTAACTTGATAACGTCGACTGAAGCGTCAAATATAGGCCAGACTTTAGTGCATATTATATAAATGATATTTACATGAAGGAGATGGTTTAAGCTTTGGTAACCTGATGGTAACCTGCACACCCCACGGTTCAGTGTCACTGACTATGTCGCGATGCGTCACTTATGTCACATAATGTTCTTCGTGTGTTCAAGCTACATTAAACTTCGACAGGTGTCATAACTGCATGACATTGTAAAACACTTACTGGGTTAATGCATTAATTAAACAGTTAAGGATATTTTCGGTTTTTAATTTAAATAAATGTTTTCTGCATATGCAAAAGTGATCCCAGGCTAGGTTCTACGCAGAGATACATTACATTTAGAGACAGACTATTAAAAATATACAAAGATGTGTTAACTTAAAATGTTATAAAAATGTGAAAAACACATAGTCCAACTTTGCTGCTACTAAGCCTGTCGGATAAATACTGGATGAATCAACAAATTCACTTGACAACTAATTATTTCAAAATGATACCAAGCAACTAAACAGTGTCTCACCACAAACCTTTCAATGTCCTTCCCGGGTTTTGCCTACTTATCTTGATTTAAAAAACGATTTCAATTCATAATCAGTTCAATTTATAATTTATAATAATGATAAACGTTTTAAAAATTATAAAAATATATAAGATTATAATTTTAATTTGATGATAATAATAATTAAAGGTCCCGGGTCAAAACGGGTCTAAATTGTCTAAACCTAAATATTGAGACGTGTAAATATTGTCAGTTAAAACTTACATTTCCAAAGATATTTTTCGGCCCTTAAAAGAGCCTTTGGGGTAGCTGATGTTAACAAAATAAGGGAAAAAACAAGACAAAATTAGGTTTTATTGCAAATGTCTAAATTTAAAGTATTTGTAGTTTTAAATGTTTTTTTTTTAATTGATTAAAGTGTATAAAATCAATGGTACTTACAAGAAGCAGGGGCAGTCGGCACTGAAAAGAAAACAGATTACACAGTTAATAAAGACTGAAAACATAGCCTAAAATTGCACTTATAAGATAAGCAAAACGCAGAGTGCACTCTATCCGACTGAGACCTTACAGCTTATTATATTAATTTAAAAGTGTAACGTTAGCGTTTCTTGGTCTCATAGCCTGGCTGTAATGAATGAATGAGCTGGCGCTCTTTTTACACACACAGACGCACAGGCACTGTAATACACGCACATTGATTCAGTCAAACCAAATGTGGGACAACCTGCTGTTTGTTTGTAGTATTGTTTTGCTTTTTTAATCTAACAAATAATATGACGGACTCTAAATTAAAGTCTCAGTCGGATTTGTGTTACCACTAACGTTAGTTACCGTAAAATGCTTCATACTTGCTAAACGGCTTTTACCGTTTAAACCGTTAGCGGCGTAAGATAGCCTACATATAGCGATTGTAGAGAAAACACGGAAAAAATACGAGAATACTGTTTTTGAATAGTAAATGTAGTACATTTACTAGAAGCGACATTTTTCTGACATTGTATATAACGTTATTGTTATTAACACGAAAACAAGCGCCAAATACCCCTCATCTTTATTAATGAATAACGTACTCGATATAATAACCATTATTCTTGATATTTAAAACACCATTTTATTCGTAGGTACTTGTATGAACAAGTTATAACCAATTTATAATAAAATATAACGATAAAGTTAAAAAAGACGTTTACCTCAGGAAAACTGGCAGTTATGTTCGTTAGGAATGTCCACTTAAATGACCCAGGCTGTGTCCGCGATGGGCACAGACCTCAACTTATATAATGCCCACCGCCTGGTTTCGCGGGCTAGTCACGGAGTAAAAAGTGACAAATTAAAAGGTTTATTAATGAATAATTGAAGATTAAAATGTGTTATTGTTTGTGTTATAATCGTCATTAGATATGAATAAAAAGTGCTGTGTAGGGTTATTAAATTATTATTGATTTTATTATTTAATCGCATTTTTGTATTTGTCTAAATTATTCATATATAGGCCTATTCACTCAATTCCTATATTCAATTCCTAATAAATAATTAAAACAATGATGTTTAAAAAAAATAATAACTGTATTATAATTGTTAAGTAATTAATAAATTAATGTGAATATTACAGTTAAAATAATATACATGTATATTGATTATATTTATATATTCAATTATGTTCTTTGATTTAATGGTGCCTATATCTTTTAAAATGCTCTCAAGTTAATATTTTCCCCATAGAGTGAATTTTAGAAACTCAAAGGTCAAACAAATCTTTTAAAACTTTTCTTTTAAAAACTAGCCAACTCTAAAATGTTGTAATTATTATAAAAAATATATATTTTCATTGCCAATACCTATTTTTACCAAGTAGCATAGGTCCTGTATTTATTCATCTTATGTAATTTTATTTAAATTTGCTTAAGTCTTTTCTTTTAGGCCTCACATAAATTACATCTAAACATTTTATGCTAGTATTAATAAATGTGTATCCAGGAAACGTCTTTATATTTTAAGAGATCATACATTGGGAAAGGAAAGAACAGATTATGATGGATTAATTAATGATGATTGACCTTCGAAAATGTGTGATTTCATGTAAATATGTTCTTTTTGTTTTTTAAATGTATAATACTGATGGTGATGATGATGATAACTGGCATTTTTATTATTAATATGTAATATCTTACCTGTTTCATCATTTTGTTTTGTAGTTTGAGGTACATCCGTTATCTTCAACCAGAATGAAGGCAGTGTTTCATCTTTGTGGCCCTCGCATATGAGCTTATGTAGAATTTGAATTTTCCATAAGCTGTTTGTCTGTCTACTTGGATTCACTCAGGGTTTCAAGATGGCTCTCAAAAAGGAGTGTACTACAAGGTGCAGGCGAAAATCATCGCTTATGCTGTTAGATAGTAGGTAGGTAGGGTTATTTGTCTAGTTTGTATATTTGTTTAGTTGTTATTGATTTGCAGAATTATTTAGCAGGCATCACACCAAACAACATGCCAAAGACAACATGTTCACATTCAACAGTATATAAAATAAATAAATAGAATAAAACACAATAAGCAGTCCAGCTGACTAGTCTGTTTTTGACACCACAGGGAGACAGTAGCCGCATTTCCACTATCAGGCCAGTGCGAGCCAGGGCTTATATCGGGCCAGGCCGGGCCAATCGCCCGGGAGGTTGAGCAGTGAGGCCGAAATCATGTCGCGTTTCCACTGTGGGGCTAGTAGCTCGCAGCGCGTCACGCAAACCCCGCCTCCAGAACATCCCCCGAATCGAACATCACTCAAACCGCCCACTTCAGCGAGAATCATGCAGATAAAGCCCACCATCACATCATCACGAAACTATTAAAATTAGGACAACCAAAACAAACAAATGACACGTTACTGTACAGCAGTACAACGCATGTCTATACGCACATGCCTGTGTGTTTTCATTCATTTACTCGCCGACCGACTGGCATCGAAATCCAGTGGTCTTGCCACCAACGGAGGGACCCGGAGCGCAGGGAGCGCACACATCCATAATATAACACCACATATATAAAATTCTCAGTTAATAACTCGATATAAAATGTATTTTATAACATCTTCTAGACAGAATCTGTCCAACATTCATCCCAAATGCTCCGGAGAGAACTGAAACATGATTATTTTCCCCCTATAGGCTTTATGACACTAGGTTAGGTGATTTACCCTTTATTTAAAGATGTTGCTTATTATATCTTAAGTAAAGGAAAGTGTTCAGTGTTTCAGCACAGCACGTAATAAAATATTGCCTATATTTCGTTGCGCTCAGCAGCTATGCACTAATAAAGCTCTTTATGTATTTAAAATTCCCTTTTTTAATTTTACCACGTCATATAAAAACATACACACTTGTTTGAGGACACAGAACACATTTTGAACTTGCAGTTTTCCCCGTCAAAAAAGTGCTGCGCAACTGCAGACAGAAAAAAAGTTCGCCTATTTCTGCTTTCACTCACCCCGAAAATGCTCTGTTTGCATGATTTGATTAATTTCATCGTATCCAAATACTTTATAAATAATATTTAAAACATTTTCCGGTGTTTATTTATTTTTATTTTTTTAGAAAATATCTAAAATCTTTTTTTCAAAGAGGCTTTTGAAAAATGAAAGTTTAATATAAATTTGAAACAGTTTGATATAGTACCTAATTGTTATAGCTATAGCTTTTGTTAGTTTTATATTGGTTTATTTATTTAATGTGATTTTATTATAGGCCTATCTAATATTTGTAATTCTTTAAATTATTTCAATATAGGGCTATTTTATCTAGATATGACACTATTGTTTTGAGCCTACAAAAGTGGACATGAAATTTGTAAAGTTTAATGTCCTACTGTTCTATATATAGTGTATTATCCCCGAAATAAATTAAAACAATAAAAATAAAAGAAAAAAGCCGCTCGCGGCATCAACAGAGCTATGAATGGAGCGCTCTTTTTTTCGGTCTCACACACACACACAGGCATCTAAACGCGCAAAAACACACTTACAGTATTAAACTTGACAAAACCTCTTGAAAACCTTTACTGTCTGCTGTGTCTTTAATATGGTGTAAAGATTATTATGCGTTATTGAAACATCAAAGATGCAGCAAAGAAAAGTGACTTATTAAAACTATCATTTTATGCAACAGCCTTACATTTAAAAGAGAAATTAAGGGCGATCATATGCAAAAAAGACCCAGCCTATAATTTGTTCCAGATGTTTTCTTTCCCTTATTTATTTATTTGTTTGGCACATGTACTCGAGTGCGATCGGAAAACTGTGCCCGCCTCTCCTTTCACTCCGCCCCGAAGCCCCGGCTGGCCCTCCTTGGCCCAAGGTATTCGGCGGGCCGAAAAAGGCTGGCCGTTGGCCCCGAGAAAGCCCCGCTTTGGCCCGATTAGGCCCCGGAAGTGACAGTGGAAACGCCACTGGCCTTGGCTCGCCCTGGCTCGCTCGCTTTAGGCGCGATAGTGGAAACGCGGCTAGTATCTCTGCTCAGATGGCAAATAGTCAGATGAGGAACTAAATGGGTGCATTGAATCAGCCACAATACTGATTGCCTTTATGACCACTCCATCTTTGTAAATGTATTCCAGTTTACTAGAAGTGGTGACTATTTTCCTTAAACACTTTTCTTGACTCTCAGTAGCATTGCCATACCAGCAAATACTGCAAACAAGTCAATATACTTTTAATAAAAGCAGAGTAAAATATCTTAAGCATTTTATTGCTGATTCAAAAGGACATCAAAAAACAATGTCTCTGCTTAGCTTGAGTGTTAATACACTTAACCCACGAGTCCTATCTCTAAAACCAGGTCAAAAAACTTTTCTGTATGCTCTCCATTAATGAATGTAGGTGCAATATATTATATTATATTATATTTTATTTTTTTCTCAAGTCTATACACATTTCTTTATGTTTTTTTATTCAACACGTTTAGAATCATTACATCACTTTATGAAAAAAATCCAAGAATGGCCATGTTTCTCTTTTCTGCCATAAAAGAGGCTCATAAAGACTGAATCATCAGCATATTTATTGCCTGTTCCATACGTTTAATAAGATGCTTGTTTTATATTTGGCTTTTTTTTTTTTTACCAAAATCTTAAATTCTGCCTTCATTTACTCATCCTTAAATGGTTACAAACCTGTTTAAGTTTGTTTTTGTTCCAAACAAATAAATTTATTTAGAAAAATGTTAAAAACCTTTACCCATTGACTTCCATAAATGATAAGTGGTTACTGTTATTTTTTTTGTCCAACAGATTAACGAAACCCTTGAAGGTTTCTTGAGGGCCGCTGTGGTGCTGAGTTTAGCTCTAACTTGCTTCAACACACCTGCCCTGGGGTTTCTAGTATATCTAGTAAGAACTTGATTAGCTGCTTCAGGTGTGTTTGATTAGGGTGACCCGAGTTTGGACACCCCTGCATTAGAGGGAGAGTAAATAGTGAGTAAATTTCACTTTTTGGTGAACAATCACTTTTTAAATCTATAAAATTAAAGTATATGTGCAGCTTTTACAATGTTAGTGAAGATATTTTTCTTGTTTTCCAGGATGGCCTGATGCCTGTAGTCAGTTGGATGATTATATACACTAGATGCCTTGATTCTGCATGAATGGGGGATTAACCACTAGGTAGGTCTGTCAACCATATGTTCATAATAACAGAATGAGCTTATTACATTTACATAATGAAAATTGAAAAACACAACAAACAGTTTTGTTTTATTATATGTAATACAATGGGCCCTATCATACACTCAGCCCAATAAGGCTCAAGACGCGTTTCTATTTTTAGACCAGTGCAACACTAGTTTTGCCGTTTCCACCATGTTGTTTAAATAGTAAATCCATTTGCATGTGTATATTTGTTTTTTTTTTTAAACAAGCTTAGATTTGTCCACTTGTCAGGTTTTGGACCATATGGGGCATAGCATACGTGTTTGGAAATAACTCAGTTGTTTGAGCACACTTCCTTATAATTGTTCACTTATTCGTTTGCTGGAAATTAGAATTGAATTTAGAAATAGATTTTGAATTTAGAAATAGATTTAGAAATAGATAGAGAACAAATCTTTGCAATCAAACTAAATTAGTTCGGTATAGGCTAATTGATTTGTGTGTACAACATGTTTTCTTATCTACAAAAGATAGTGAAAGTAAAAAATGAGGAGGCTCATTCTCTCATTTTCACACTGCAGATATTTAACTGTTTTCTTGGTAATGAAGCGTTTAGTTTTTCACCTTTAAAGTCCGCCATGTAAATAGCTAATGCGCCAAGGCGCGACACAACAGTCTCTTAAAGTGAATAGGAGATGAAACTCTGATTGGTTTATTCTTAAAACACACCTATAACTCATTAAGAGAATAAGCTCAACCCTGTTAGATCATGCGCTATGAGGCAGAGTGGATTTTTTCGTCCTTAAAATAGCAAAAGTGGATTCAGACACGCCCTTAATGCTTTTGTGCCCTGTGGTTTGAACTTTACGCCTAGATCGTTAAAATAGAGCCCAATGTGTTTGTGTTTAAAGTTCAAACATATACCGTTGCTCGTCTCTGCCCCTTATTTCTAAAAAGAGCTGCAGCACATTGATGCTCAAACTGGGGTCTGTTTCAGAAAGGTGGTTCAACCAACTCTGAGTTTAATCTTGAACTCAGAAGGGAAACGTATTTGGGGTTTCAGATCAACTGAATAGTGTTAGTTTATCACAGTCTTGTGTAGTTTTATGTGAAATGTAAGGACGGGCAAATGCCTTTCTCTGTTGTAAGGACTTAAAAAAATGATTTTTAAAAAACAAATGATTAATTGGCATAATGCTTTTCAAATGTTTTTACCATAGAGATGTCTGTTATTGTTTTCTTATTCCGGCCATTCTGACCGAATCACATTTCAGACTTTTTTTGTCTAACAGCAACTGACTCTCCTCCTGTCAGTCACTCTTCTAAATACAATTTGAATTTTGACGAGGGAATGCAGGTATTGTGCATTCAATCATTTCTGCAAATGTTGCAAGTAAACAACAAGGCTCTTAAAACACTGCTTCAAAAATTTTAGTGTTGTCATATTTCAAATACAGAAGTCATTTGTTTTTTTTTATTTCATTACTGACAGTGTACTTATTTGTAAAATCATTTTAGTTTAAAATCAAGTGTAAAACAATTTTCATGTGCTGTAAAGCTATATATTCAACAAATTTGCCATATTGCAAAGCAGTGAGCAAATAAGTAAAATAGTGTAAAATGTGTAAATAAAAGACAATTTCAATCTTTTCTTCATATACTTTAATTAAACATTTCAAAGTAGAAAATATTGTTTAATAAAATGGACATCAAATATATCTATGGCCTTATAGTTCTGCCAGTGGTATTGAAAAATTAATTATGGTGAAGGAAAAAGCAACCACACTTCCTTTGGTAGTGCAAATTCCCATATATATAGCCTTGTGATTAAACACTTGAACCATTCTATCAAGTTTACACTTGAAAAGGGCCTTAATGAAAATCAGTTTTTTTATTAAACTAACTAATTGCTTATTTTGAGTATTTTTTTTAAAAAAAGAGTACTTTTTTACTTTTACTTGTACACTTAATATTAGTATTAGTTACTAGTAGTATTACTTTACCAATGTAGTAGTATTTTTACTTGGGTACAAATTTTCAGTTCTCTTTCCATCTTTGAGAGAACATAAACAAATACATTACTTTATTTTTTATTTTACAAGCACATTTATTGTAGGTTTATTATATTTTTATTTATGAATATATTATTAATTACTACATTACTAATGTATTTTATTTGAATAAATTGGAGAGTTCTTATTGAATTTAAAGTGCATTGCTGAGAATACATTTCAGGTGTTCAGTACGCTGCATGTCAGTCTTGAATAAAAAAAAAAAGTACTGGAAAAAGTGTTTAAAAATCCTTGTTTTTTTTAAATCTGGGTTTATACAGTTCTGCCTATATATACCCTGAATGGGGCACCAATATTACGATTCATTTTGAAAAAAGCAACCCAACAAAAAGACACCTGCAATTGAGACAATAAACGTTTAATACTTATCACTTTTATAATATAGCAGGAGAAAGCAGAATGGTATGTTAATGAACTAATAGCCTATTTATTTTTATAGTATGCCATGGGAAAAAACGTTTATTTGGAAAATATTAGCCAACAGAATAAGAAAATGGCAATGGCTATTTACATTAAGTGCAAATAGCATATTTTCTTACCATGATCTATTAACAGTAAATGCCAATAGATCTAAATACAATAAATCTAGTTTAATTACTTGTTAGTTCATGTTTGTTTTTACATAAGCTAAATGTGACTAACATAAACTTGTTATCTTTGTCAGGATGATTTTACTTGGGGCACATTATCCTTAACTCATTTCTAATTATTCTGGAACTCCTGTGTTTAAATGTAATGGTTGATCTAATACGTGTTTACACTGAAAAGCAGTAGAAATGTGTTCCGTTTCCATCAAAATAAACAGTTTAAACAGGAGTTCAAGAGTAGTTGAAAATTGTATTACATTAGCAAACAATGAACTAACAACTAACTAAGGTAGTGATATTCACATATGAACTCATGTGACTCGTATGTTGTTTTTAAAGCTAGTTCATAAACAGCACATGCCTTAAAGAGCATATTGTAGGTTAGACACCCCAGTGAGTCAATGTGCATGAGAGTAAAGTAGGAACTACATTTTCTTTAAAATACACGTTAAAGTTTATTTTTAAGCCATCTGTAGTCGTTTTAGTCACATAAATGTTCTTCCGCATGTGAAAAATCACCAGATTGTAAGTGACGTTGAACTAGGAAGATCGCACATATAAACAGTATGAAGACAACTGATCGCGGTGCACGTTTGGATGCCAAAATAAGATATTCTGAGACATTCACACAAACGATGCATCACAGCCATACAATTATGAGCCTGTGGACAGACCAACAGACATAACAGCAGTTAGAGAAGAGTAATTGTGTTGTAATGTGAGGAGAACAGAGCAGTGTGAGACCAATGTTACCTTACAGACAGATATGTTAGATAACGAAATCGTATCAGGCAGTAGCAAAGGTAGTATTGATCATCTAAATATTTATATTTACCAGTAACAGAAACTAAGCATTTAACAGAGTTATGCCACATTGTCACTATTTTTAATTGTAGATAAGTGAATAAGTGACTAATAACATAGTACATCTGTAATAATGCAGAAACATGTGAACAAGGTTCTTGAAAATCTTTTCTCTTAGAGCTTTTGTAATGAAATAAAAAAGCACCAAAATATTAAAACTATTAAAATAAGTTTTAAAATGTTTTTTTATTTGTATTTTTTTTTTAACATTTCAAATAACATTTCATTAACAGATCTGGGGTGCAACGACAAACAAGGAAAAAACAAACAATGACATAACTTGCAGCTGCACAATCATAGTACGATGCATTGTTTGGGAAAAAAACGATGTAGTCACGAGTGTTTTCCCAAAACCTGCAGTTTCTCAGTCACAGATCCATCGTCTAAACCATGTCAGTTATAGCGTAAAACATCCATTATGACGCTCTAAACAGGCATAATCAACTTCTTCAGAGAAGAACCCCATAATTTCTTTGTGCAAATTATATTGTTTTACACAAAACCTGTTAAAAATTCAATTTTAGTTATGGTAAAAACATCCACTCGCTTTCCATATTAATTGAAATGTATGTAAATGGAACATATAGGATTATTAGGAAATTTGAAAAAATCCTACATTAATATTAATAATAATAATGATGATGATGATTATTTAGGATATTGCTTATAAATTTAAATTTTTTGGAAAAGTCTACTTTTATAATTTGACATGCAAACCACTGCAGAAATGTTCTGACCCACAGGCACATGTGTTATACAGTACAGATACTTAATAAATAACCCACTATAAATGAAAATAATTAACGTATGCTATGTGTTTTTTTTTTTTTTTTTGGTTTCACAAGCTTTGGAGACGTAACGTAAATTCAGCTTTTTAAATAATAGGTCCCCTATAGCTTTCGTCATGAGGCATAACTGTAAAATGCACTGTGAAGGGAGCACAATTATAAACATGAAGATCGGTAAAACTGAACTGTACGAATACTTTGAAAGCAAATTACACCTAAGAGAGATGACCTTAATGCATTTTTTAAAATCATTCCAAGTTTAAATGTTAGAATGTTCTAAATGAAAATTAATAGGGCATAGGGGGAATAAGTGGGAATAGAGCACAGTTAGGAACTTTGTTTTTGACTACAGCTCTAGAGGTATAGTTGCAAGCATACAAGTTTGCGACCCTGTTTGAATGTTCCTTGGAATGATGGATTTTATATATGCATACATACATACATACTGTACATACTGTACATACATACATACATATACAGTTGAAGTCAGAATTATTAGCCCCCTGAATTATTTGCCACCCTGTTTAATTTTTTCCTCCATTTCTGTTTACTTATCCCTAACTGATTTATATTATCTTTGCCATGATGACAGTAAATAGTAAAAATTTGACTATATATTTTTCAAGATACTAGTATTCTGCTTAAAGTGACATTGAGGGTAATTAGGCAAATTATTGTATAATGATGGATTGTTTTGTAGACAATCAAAAATATTACTTAATAAAAATATTATTATTAAATAATGTTGACCTTGAAATGGTTAAAAAAAATTAACTGTTTTTATTCTAGCTAAAATTAAACAAAAGACTTTTTCCTGAAGAAAGAATATTATAGAAAATACTTTGGAAAAATATACAGTATTGTTAAACATGATTTGGGAATATATACAGTTGCAATGTCAAAATGAATGTATCAAAGACATTGTACTATATATAATATTTGAGACTCTTAAGTTATACATTTTTGTCCTTACTTTTATTCTACAGTTATAACTAATAAATAATAAAAAAAACTCATCTTTTGTCTGAAAAAATATATAAATGGAATCTATGTTAATTTGTGTACTTATGCTTTCCTGTTTCTGTCCTAGAAGGTCCATTCAAAGGATTCTAGAAATTGTACCAATTCCAGTCTGGATCCAGCCTACCTGGTGAACACCACAGAAGACATCAAAGCTAATGAGTTTAGATAACTAGAACTGGACAAACAGAGTTGGCAAAAATCAAAGCAAACACCACTACATTACTATATTATTATTAAAACAATAAAAATATAAAAGAGATAGATGGACTTGGTGAGATTTACCTGTTTTGTGATGATTTTGTTTAGCTGTAGATTTAAATATCCATTGAGGAAAAATATTTGCACCATTAAGAACTGATCATATTGATCTCTGTTGCTATCTTATGGCGGAACAATGTAACGCCAAACTGCCAAAGAATTTCCATTAAATATTACTACAATTTATAATCAAATGTCATTTGTTGAACAACAACATGTAACAAACAAGAATATAAAGATGCCAAATAAATAAGTCAAATTGTTAATGGATGGCAACATTTTGTCTGTTTAACTGAGCACAATGCTTTTTATGCATCTGACTCCGCAACAGGAGAGTCATAACACTTATTAAAACATGCTTAAATCTATTAAACTGTTTTGTTGAATTATGTTTGTGTGTGTGTGAGAGAGAGAGAGAAGGTGTTTATTGGGTTATTCTATAAAATGTTTTTTTTTTTTTTTTTTGACTATGTCTGTTAATGTGTCTAATTGAATGTTGAAATATATCGTCTTTCGCATGCTGTGTATGTGTCTAAGGTGTGACAAAAGTAGCCTAAACGCTATTTCTCGAAGAAATACTGAAATGAATTCTTTATTTACCCAAACCATAAAGTATTACATTTTCATGTAATTTCATGTAATGTTGACAAACATTTAAATTAATGTCATGATGTGGGAACATGTTGCAATTATCCATATTTTGGCACGATAAAAATTGCTGCTAAAGCAATTACATTTTTCAACAGAAAGCTATAAATAAACAATAAAAATTTTAATGTACACCTTTTAAATGTATAATACAAGCCATTTTAAATATGGCAAATTTGATTTACCAAACAAATGAACTTAAAGTGTTAATTATTTTCTAATAAAAATTGTCACGTTTTAGACACGCAGGATAAAAATAAGCTCTTTAAATAATTTCTGGTTCGAGAAATAGCCTAATATAAAAGAAAAAGATGTCACCGAAAAAGATTGTAACCATTCACACATAAAATTAATTGGTTGTAATTTAATTTTGCTTATACTAGTTTTTAGTTACAAATGCTGGCCTATATCTGATAAAATGTATACTAAAAAATGTTTCTACAAAGTTGTTACAAACAATTTATATGGGTTGAATTAAAACAAATTAAATGTAGCCTAGTAATTTTCAACTTAAATAGTTTAAATTCAGCCTAAATTATTTAGAACTACTTAAAAATCTAATTAATCATCTTGCATGTTTCATATGTTCGCTGATAAATATGTGCCGGTATTAATGAGTAGAAATCTATTCAGTTTTTAATCTATGCAGTTATTTTTGTAATAATATAGTGATTGTCGTGGTAAAACAGATTACTGGTGAACATCTATTAGGCCTAAACCATAAGGGAAGAGATCACATTAACTGATTAAAATGAATTTCAAATATCCAGTTTAGCCTACACCACGGATGAACTTATCAAATATCAAAATGCATTTTTATTGCAAAATAAATGTAAACAGTCCTACTGCCATATATCACGGGATTAAGAAACTTCAATAATATTCCGAAGGAAAACAAGATAATTAAACAAAGTAAAACAAAATAAAAGTGAAATTAAATAAATTAAATTAAATTAAATAGCAAATAACTTGCATATTTGTCTTTCCAAAACAGCTTAAAATACATAGTATAAGGCAAGATTAAGGGCGCTCGCTGTTGTATTTCTCTACTTACACTGATGCAAATCGCGGGAGCGGTTAGGTAACGGGTTTAATTTGGGACGGGAGCGGGCTGTCTAGCAATATTGCGGATATTGCTATGCGAATGAGAGAGAGAGAGAGAGCATTGCCTGTGTGTCTGCTTGGTGCTTGTGTGTGTGTTTATACAGACAGCTTGGCTGTCTGGACTGTATAACTGGGTGATTTTCGGTTATGTTCTCCCCTGCTCTTTAGCGGGATCGAGCGCGGCAGGCAGAAAACGGGGCGGGGCGGGCACCGGGACAACAAATTCTTAATATAAGCCAAAGCGGTCGGGTTCAGGCTAAAAACTGGCGGGTGTGGGCGGAAGCGGGAGCATTGTCGTCCGGAGGTGTGTGTGTGTGTTTGTGTGTGTGTGTGCACGCGCGCGCACAAGGACGAGGGCAATATGTGTGTTTGTGTGCATTTCACTCTCTGAAGGCAGTCGACCAATCACGACAGACTGTCATCGGTCCAATCAGCGCAGATAAGCTTCGCGCTAAGGAGGGGTTTGGGAACAAATGAATCACTGGACAATTCATACGGGAGTCGCTGGGATAATTAGGTAAAAATAAATGCAGATTATAAGACCATGAAAGTGTTTTTTTGACCTTGCATGCATATTAGACTGTTGTTGGAGACTCTTACAACCAAGATATGACCCTATTTCATGTATAATATGTGCTCTTTACAAACCGTTTACTGCTCATTTGATGTAATTTTGCTAACATGGATAATTTAATATTAATCAGATGATGTCATTACGCTACTGTGCCGTCAGCCAATCAGTGCATTGCTGATCATGATTTTGAGGATCGATAGATCTGTCCTCCACAACACATGCAGTGATCTGAGATCAGTTTATCCAGACATTTTAATCTGATTCTTGAACTTGTTTGAAGAACCAAATTTGTGTGAGAAAAAATCCAGGATCTGCCAAATCATCTTAGATCAATTAAGTGAGGTACGAAGAACGGAGCCCTGCTGACAAACTGGAATTCTTCAAAAGACGTTTTTATGAAAGACATAAGCCCTGTAAAACACAGGACAACTGCAAGGGCTTGTCTAGAGTTTGAACCCAGGACCTCTTGCACCCAAAGCGAGAATCATACCCCTAGACCAAGGGTATCCAAACTCATTCCTGGAGGGCGGTGTCCTGAATAGCTCCAACTTCCTTCAACACACCTGCATGGAGCTTTCTAATATATTTAGAAAGAGCTTGATTAGCTGGTTTAGGTGTTGTTTAATTGGTGTTGGAACTAAAATATGCTGGACACCGGCCCTCGAGGACCGAGTTTGGACACCCCTGCCCTAGACCAACGAGCCACTAAAGTGTTCACATTTCACATGACGTCAGAAGCATCAGATAGTCAAAAATCTTTCTCTAACGAATCAAGGGCACCCTCAGCGAGAATCATACCCCTAGACCAACGAGCCACTGCAAAACAGCAACTTTACATGGCAACACTATCTGCTGACGAACCAGCATTCTCAGAAAAAAGGCCTCTGTGTAAGCCACAACGCCCTTACGAAACAGCAGACAACTGTAAGGGCTCAACTGAAATTTGAACCTAGGATTTCTCACGGCATGAACGAGAATCATACTCCTAGACCAGCAGGCCACTATGCAATAAATGTTTTATGTGGCGACACTATCTGCTGACAAACTGGAATTCTTTGACAAACGTTTTTATGAAAGCGATAATGCCCTATAAAACACAGGACACCTGCAAGAGCTCATCCAGGACTTAAACCAAGGATCTCTCGCACCCAAAGCGAGAATCATACCCCTAGACCAACGAGCCACTAAAATTTGAAGTTTTCACATGGCATCAGAAGCAGCAGATAGTCAGAAATCTTTCTCTGATGATTGAGTCAGAACATACCTTCAAAAGCTCAAGCGTTGAAGCAGGGCTTGTGCTTCATTTGGACCCGGGACTTCTGCCCAAAAAAAGAGTTGCAGCCCTAGACCGACAAGTTGAGTCACTTGTTTGCTTGTAAATTGTTGTTTATATCTAGTAGCTTCAGTGAGATGAATTGATCTCATCCATTTCACAAATTTAAGCTGCATGGAAAAAACCACACATAGCATTATGTAAGTCATTATTGGAGGAGGATCGTGATAGCATCAAATAGCTATCTCAGCGCAAGTATCAGAACCCCTCACTGATTGGTGTGATTGAAATAGGTCTCATTCATTTCACGGATTTGAAGCTGCAAGGAAAGTAGGAAAAGGTTCCACCGAGACTTGAACTCGGATCACTGGATTCAAAGTCCAGAGTGCTAACCATTACACCATGGAACCAAGACCACCACTAAATACTATCTAATGCTTGCAGACTAGCATTAAAATAAGCTTCTGTGAACGCCATGGAACCAAGACCTTCCTTAAATACTATCTAATGCTTGCAAACTGGCGTTGAAACAGGCCTCTGTGAACGCCATGATGTTCCTCAAAACAGCAAACAACTAAAATGCTGCGTGCACACCAGATGCGGAACGCGCGGATAAATCGCGCTATTTGCGCGTAAATAGCCACATGAACATTTGTGTTTACTCACTTGATTCGCGTGTCAAACCCTGCTTCATTCGCGTGTCAAATTCACTTCATTCGCGCGTCAAATTCACTTCAGAACAGACGCGGATTCGCGTAATGGGCAAGGCTTCTGTCTGCCCGGTGACTCTAGCTTCATTGCTAAATGGCTAACATGGATTTTATGAAGAAAATAACAGTGTTTATGTGCTTGTTGAAGACTGAAAACAGCGTCGATAGGTTTAGGGCCGTGTCTGAGTCCACTAGATTCTTTTTAGAGGTGCATCCAGCTCTGTGAGCACATAAACTCCTCCAGAAACTGAACCTGGATGACGAACGCTTTCAGCGGTTCTTCTGACTGAGCCAAGCCCAGTTTGGTGAACTTTTTGTCATTGTCGGCTGGAGGATTTACCCCGGGACACCTACAAAGAGGATACGTCAAAATCACGCCCCCAAAAGAGCAAGCTCCTGATTGGTTAATGTGGCGCGAATGTCTGCTGAAGTTCAGTTTTTCGAACTCGACTGATTCGCGCAAAACGCTTAATTCGCGCGTATCGCTCTGCAGGATGTCTGTTCGTGCATTTGCATTGACTTAACTTGTAAATCACTACCTTCAAAAGCTCAAGCGTTGAAGCAGGGCTTTTGATTCATTTAAACCCAGGACCTCTCGCACCCTAAGCAAGAATCATACCCCTAGACCAACAAGCCACTGCAAAACAGCAATTTTACATGGCAACACTATTTGCAGACAAACCGGCATTCTCAGAAAAAGGCATCTGTGTAAGCCACAACGACCTTACAAAACAGCAGACAACTGTAAGGGCTCAACCAAAATTTTAACCTAGGGATTTCTCACGGCATAAACGAGAATCATACTCCTAGACCAGCAAGCCACTACGCAAGAAATGTTTTATGTGGCGACACTATCTGCTGACAAACTGGATTTCTTTGAAACACCTTTTTATAAAAGCCATAATGCCCTGTAAAACCCAGGACACCCGCAAGGGCTCATCTGGGATTTGAACCCAGGACCTCTCGCATTCAAAGCATGAATCATACCCCTAGACCAACAAGCCCCTAAAATGTGAAGATTTCACATGGCATCAGAAGCATCAGATAGTCAGAAATCAA